GCGGGTCTGGCCTATCGTAGTGAAGGTTGTAAAAAGAAGGCCAGTCCCTCCAACCTACGCTACAACAACCTCCGGACAACCACTTGCACCGACACGATGATATTCGTTGCGCTATACCTCCCTCTACTACCGCCCCCGCCCCCTCCCAGTATCTAGTTGGGCGGAGTCATCGTACGCCACTACATCAGCGTTCGTAGGCGAGCCTTGACTGAGTCCCACAGCATCCTCACGGAGCAAATGCCCACCCTTGCCCAAGCTACCCAGGTTGTACACACCGTGGTTCTTTTTTGATGTAGTACTGCTGTCATGGTCTGTTGCTGGTGGTGAGTGTTTCGTACCACCGGCGCGTGGCTGTCTCTTTTCGTGGCATACAAAATCGAAACGAGTTTGAACTTGGGATGGCGTAAGCTACTGCAGTGTGGGTGCTGAATGTAGCGCTACAACCAAGCTATAATAGTATACTGTCAATCATCGGTGGCCACATCGAAAGCTTGTCGTAGAACGCGGGAGGGGAGGGGGGGGGAGGGGGACCAACCGCCGGCGGCCATCACCTTCCACACATACACCGGCCAATGGATGTGTGTTCTTCGTAAGGCGAATTTCAGCATATGATCGCCGCTATTGCCGCCGCCGCAACCGCCCGTGCTTGTTGCGCTGCGGACGTGTGTCCTTCTCTGGGCAAAAAGTCAGCACAATAATCCCTGCCGCCGCCCCCCGTGCCGCTTGCGCTGCCGGTGCTTACCTCCGCAGAGTCATCGCCTCCAACCTGCTCCTCCAACTCCGGGATGTCGTCGTCAGAGTCCCCCTCGATGTCCTGCAGTAGCATCGCCGCCGGCAACACAAGACGCGGGTGGGTGGGTGCACGCGTTTTTGTTGTGCGAATCCAGAGGAGGCCCGCCGACACCACGGGAAAAAACGAAAAACACAAAAATAAACACAAATCAAGATCGAGTGGGACGGAGTCTCTGGCGGGGAGAGTGGCTCTTCAAACTTTCTCGTGGCCATTATGAGGACAACTTTTGGCGCATCCCGCAAAGCATGGATTGCCCTGTGGCGGGCTGCTACTGCTCTAGGCGCCAAAAGCTGTGCTCAAGGCATTATCTACGCACCCATGGTCATTGAGAAGTAATCAAGAATGCCAGCGGGAGGTGGAGGTGTTGTGCAGCAACGACGAATATGAATAAGCAGCGAGATAGCCAATCGGAGAGGTTCAGTACCGAAGAACAAAATACACGCATGGTACAGACGACCGGGAGTGGTGGATATAAAGGATCCGGGTCGAGTCTCGCCGCCATCACAGGCTATGGTACCGCTTCTGTTGCTGTCGGCAAAAACAAGTGGTAGACATGAATCACAGAGGGAGCGAGCTTGGTGGGTGCCTCACAGGACACAAATGAAGAACAAATCACTTTCGACACGGCAGCGCGCTCACTTAGCACGAGCAACGAAACCAGAGAGGCATACAACTGAGAACGCTCGTCACATGCAGCGCGAAGCAGACATCGGACCATGTTTCGTGGCTACTGCTGCTGCTGGCTCTCACTTGCCTGTGTGTGGCGCTACAACACAATCAATGGTGTTCATCGCATCTTTCGACTTAGTGGGGCGGCGTTCACTAGCGGCGAAGCTCCACACACCTCAACTTCCGGGTCAGCCACAACCTTTGCCTCTTCGAACTCCGTCATCTTCGGGTGAGTAGGGTAGCAGCAGCAAGAGCTGGGGAGAGGAGAGGGGGGTGCACGAGACGAGGCAGGCCCTCGCCGATGCAACCGGGGTCTCCGCAGACAAAATATTTTATGGGGGGTATTGGAAAAGGCCCCTACCCCAGCTGGTCTTGCGGGGAAAAAAGAGGTCCGCCGGCGTCTACGTGTTGTTGTGTCCACGCTACCGCGCCTTTATGCTTGCCCTACTTCTCGCCGGTTGTGCGCTCATCGGAGAAGGGGAGGCTCTTGCTTGGAACGGTTACAAGTTGAGAGTTCGATCGGGTGCTCGCTGGAACTACGGCGGAAGAAGAAGCAGCAGCACTCTGCTTGGCTTCACCTTTCCCCGTGTGCCCGCAACAGCAGCACCACCAGCAGCAGCACCACCGGCAGTGGCAACTCACGGAGCGACGAGTAACGACAACGAGGGAGAGGGGCAGGGAAGATCGATGCGCACTAACGAGGTGGGCACTTCGTTCGCACCGGGACCAGCCTTGCATTGCGTGTGGTATCTCAACGATATGGGCCCTGGTTTGATTGTATTTCCGTCGAAAGGCGCCTGTGGGAACTTTTTTCCCCTGCTGCGCGCCCCACTGCTTGTAAATAGCAGGAAAAGGAGATGCTCCCTGTGGCTTGTGTATCCCTCTCTGCAACGGCGACTGACAGACTGGTCCTCTATTTTTATGTCAAGGGGTGGCTTCCTGACGCAGATGGCAAAGCTCTGTCGTCCCGCACCGCTCTATGTAGTCTCGACCATAACAGCCCTCATCATCGGCCTGTTTGCACCACATCTCTCCTCCCAAAAAGCACGGATATGATGCTTACACGTCTTTTTTGGTTCCGCGGGTGCATGTTTTATTAGCGTGAGTTTGTCTCTTCAGCAAGGTGCTACAGCAGTACTGCTGTAGAGCATGTACCTCTTTAGAGCCCCCAAGACTTTGTTACCTCTGGCGGCAGCTGCGTTTTGACTGAGTCATCGATCCTACCATGCGCTTTTGGCGTGTTGGCGGCGCGCATCGAGCGGGGCTGGTGGTGGTGACTGCCCTTGTCTTGGCTCCTTGCCGGAGGAGGCCGAGTCTGATTTGATCCCAACCTTCAGCGTACGCTATATTTGTAGCATCAACGCTTTGCTCCTCAGAACACGATGACGGTCGGTGGGATGGGGTTTTCAAGCTTTGCAACATGCCCTCGGCGATGGGAGGCTCTTGCGCACGATACGTTGACCCCGCTCACTGTCTGAGAAAACCATTCATGTGTACACTGCTGTATGGACACCGAAGGCACGGCCTGTATTCGACACGCCCAGCAACTAAATAGTTACCCGCACACCCCCACGTGGTCTTGTCTTGAGTGCCCCGCTCTCTTCTAACTCTCCCCCCGCGCACGTCGCCGCTCCAACAATGGAGTCGCGAAGTTGATTGCACCGGTGCGATACATGCGCCGTCGGTGGACAGCCTCTTTGCTTGCTCTCCCACGAACACCCCGCGTTGATATCCGCGGGGGGGGCGCATCTATGTACTGCCGTCTTGTACTTTATCGTACAGCAGCGGTAGAATCGGCAGCACCGCTTGGACGCATGAAGAGATGAAACCCCCGCCCACAGGACAACTGATCTTGCACGCGTGTGTGTGCTCCCTGTGATGAGAGATAAAACTACGGTGAGAAATTGACTCCCCGGGTGTTCGGTGGGTACTAGTACATAGGTCGTATTTTTAGGTCATCCCCTTCCCGACTTGGACTTTGGTTGCCCGGCAGCCTGAGAGTTGTTTCGCCACCAGCACCTCGTGCTCCTGACGCGGACCGTGGTCTGTGATCAATGTACAGCAGATAAGCGGGCGCCCCCGAGCTCTTGCGCACAACGTGATGCGGGTTATCAACCAAGGCGTCGCGTCAACAACGACGAGAGGCATAAGACAGGCTGGGACACACGCTCAGCAGCCCTGGTGGCCTCCTGCAGGCTTACCAGACGATCCATAAGCGTAATGACGTGAGGATGAAGCTCGTTGATGCGTCCCTCGCCTAGGAGATCTAGGTGCATGTCGAGCACCGTCTCTAAGAGGCCACCAGGGCTGCTGAGCGTGTGTCCCAGCCTGTCTTGTCTGTCGGTGCTTCGTCGCACACCCCTTCTGTCCCGGATTTGACTCGGTCATTTGCCGATGCGTTGTCTCGCCAAAAGCATGTCGTGTTGTTTCCCACTGATGTCAAACAAATTCCCCGCCTCACCGGCAAAGAGCGATGTTGATGTCAATTCCGTCCTGTCCCAGTACCGCTTGATTGCTGGCTTCAAGGTGAAAGGCGCTTACCCCACCAACATCTCTGTCACCGAACTCGAAAAACGCGGCGATGCGGTCGTTCTTTACCGTCGGCACTATCGCGGGATGGTTGAGCGAGGAAAGCGTCTACGCCTTGTTCAGAGGAGTCGGTGTGAATGACAAATTCTCGAGAGAAATCGGGAAAGTGGAGGACAGGGGTAGAGGACAGAACTCTCTTGACGTTTTCGGAGGCGGCATCTTGGGCCGGCCCCCATGCTTTTTTAAAAGTAGCACGTTTGACATAATCTTTTCGAGTGAGTTCGACCAGCGGAGCAGTGACAACAGCGTAATCTTTGATGAAACGTCGGACAAAATTCACCATGCCTATGCCTGCCGCTGACGCCAGATAGGGGGTACCTATCTCAGACCGACGGAAGGGGTTGAACCTTCTCTCGACTGTGAGACCAGAGGAGACTTCCGGAGCGACGGTGGTGGGGCCGCGAGTGTACAGACTTGCGGGACAGGAGTAGTTCTCTAGGGTGAACCATCCACAACAGGAGTCGGGGTATGCATATACTTCTTTATTTCGTGTGTGCGATGTAGCGCGTACCGTAGACGATATGCACAGGTTGAATCGCCACTACATTACAGCGAGAGGGGTAGCAAGAAACTTTTTTTTTTTTTTGTCTTCACTTCAAATCAGCGCTCACAGCACTAGTGCCGTTTACTCCAACCCGTGGTCACACAGAAGAGCCCCTCTCTACCCTCCCCTTCTTCGGTACTTTGCCTGCGATTTTTAATGCGAGAAGAGTTCAGCACTCTCTTCCCTCTGTGTACACACGAACTAGCGCTATCCACTAGGCCAGGAGCGGAAGCGAGAGAAAAACTCACTTTGCAAGAAAAGCTCGCTTACGCCGGGATTCGAACCCCTGACCTGACCTCTAGAAGGTTGCGAGGATACCAACTAGACCACCGGGGCGACCGTATCGCTCGCGGAACCTCTGGGGTTGTGATGTTGCGATTCCTCGACGTATTCTCGTGACTCTATGGGGAAACATATTCCAGTTGTCTTATGGGGAGAGCGCACCGAACGTTGTGTTATGTCTGACTCTCAGCCCAGGTGCCGTGATCCATGGTAGGCTGTGTCAACGTGCTGCAACATGCGGCTCTATTGCTAGCGTTCACGTGCGCACACATGTGCACCTCTCCAATCTCAAAATGGCGTTGGAAAAAACAAAATGGTAGATGCATCCGACTAGGTTAAAACGCGCAGCCTAGTCATGCGGACGCGAGCATTATTTTGGCCATCTTGGTGTCGGTGGCCCTTGGATGTGCATATCGTTCGAAAACGCTCGACTAGGTACTCTTGGCAGACAGCAGTATTTAGTACCGGGATTGTTTCCGCATGAACATGGGCTGGCACGGAAACATGTCTGAGAGCATGTGTTGTTGTTGTTGTCATCTTGACCTAAATAGCTACTTTAAGCGACCGGACCTCCTTCCTCAGCGGGTGTGAATCCTCCATAATGGTTGTTTGTATACTTTGGTGCTTGTGTCGTGGGCGGACTGGATGGAACACATCAGGGATGTTTTTTGGCCAGGCAGGCGGTCGTCCAAAGCAGAGACGCGAAGCTGAAGAGAGACGGCCGTATTGGCCTACACCAGCCAAGAAAAAGGCGCGAACAGGCACATCACGTAGAATCAGATCAATCAATCCAATAGCCGCCTCGATGTGTTGGCGCGGGGTCGGTGCGTCTCTTTGGCCGTCTTGGTGCTCAGGGGGTGCCGCCGCCGCCGATGAATCCCGAGGACGTGGCGAGGTTTCCCCTGCCCGGGACGGCGTCGCCCATCCAGCTAGCCTTCTCGCCGGACGACAACATCCTTTCCTACCTACACGCCGAGGGGGGGCAGCTCACGCGACAGGTGTGTACGTGTGTGTGTTTGGGGGGATTCGTATCTAACATCTCAAGTCTGTGTGCTAGGTTTCTACAATACGTGTTGGGGCGCTTCGTTTGTTTCTTGTTCCTGCTTGGCCATGGGACGAGAATATTACCATCTGTTCGTTTATGGAGAAATGACCACCGTGTGTACGTTGCCTGTGCTTGGGGTGGTAGCCAGCAAGTTTACTCCGGAGGTTTACGCACAGCAGTATTTAGTATTATAGTGCCGGCACCGTGGACGATGAGATCGATATTGTTCGGGAGCCACTTTTGGTAGTGGACGCAACATCCAGGAGGCAAGAAACATAGATGGAGCGATTACACATGTACCGTTCCGTTTGGGTCCATACCAGTACGGCGTTCAACCGCTCGGGATTTCGTGTTGTGCCCGTGTTGCCCTTCGTATCACCGGATAGCCATATAACCATGGTAGAACGATAAGGAAGTCAGGTACCGGTGCTGCTTTTGTCCGTGTGTCACGATGTGCAGCAGCAGCAGCAGCAGCAGTGAGTTGAGTCAGTCAGAAACGACACCGCCTCGTTCGTCCGTCAGTCGCGCCAAGGAGGAGGAGGCAGGCGTGTCTGTGCCCCCCTTCCGTCCGTTAGTTCGAGCCTTAGCGGCTTTACCACTTTGGCGGTAGCATACACAGGTCTACCCTTCACGGCGCAGCAGTGCGCAGATGTCAGATTTCCCTTTCCCGCCCGCTGTGTAGAAGTATTTCTCGTTCCCGTCCCCCGTCCCCCGCCCCGATTGGCCATCGGTGATCGGTCCTGTGGGAACAATGCTCCGTCGTCTCGAGGACGCATGGTCAATGGTCTAACGACTACGGCATGCACGACTATGAGTACACCCCCCCCCCCCCCCCCCAACCCCCTGTCTCTTCTTCTGGGCCGCCAGTTGTGGGGCGTGGACGTGAACACCATGGCGAAAAAACAACTGGGGATGCCCCCCCACGATGGGGACACGGAAGAAAACCTCAGCCTAAAGGAAAAACTTAAGAGGGAAAGGCAAAGGCTGCACGCCACGGGGGTGACATCATTCTTCTGGTCGTCGAGGGGGAGCGCCAACATCCGCATCATGGTGCCGCTACAGGTGTGAGACAAGATAGCAACTACTACTGCTGACTGCTTTCGAGGGGTTTCAATGCAAAGAAAGTGGCGCGTGTTGTCATGAACGTGTAGCCCATGCGTAGGCGCGGGGGCGGAATGGAGTCGAGTTGCTGGAGGGATGGTGCGTGGAGGGGAGGTTGGGTGACTGGCGGTTTTGGCGGTGCTTGTGTGCGGATGTTCACGATAGCACGTTACCGGACAAGCGGGTGCGTAGTCACGTGCGGTACCGAAATGCGGTCGTCTGGCCGGCTCTTTGCTGCGCTTCACAGGCGGACCCCGGTTTCTCGGTATTCATGCTTCCTTTCCCTTTTAGACGCAACTCATTTCTCAGCAGCGTTGAAACAACAATGAACGAAATCATAATGGGGGGGGGGTGCCTGAACCGATTGCTTTATGATGTACCATACCTAACCCGATGCCGCCATGTGCAACTACCGCAGGGCAACGTGTACGTTCAGGACGGCATCGACTCGTCGACGCTAAGGATAGTGTACGACAAGGCCGCCCCGGGTAACGGTGGGGTGGGGGCGGTCGACCCGCAGATGTCTCCGGACGGGCGGCTGGTTGCTTTCGTCAAGGACGGCGAGATATTCGTCGCCTCTGGTGAGGAGGGAAGTCCTGTTGATTTTGTTTTTCTTTTTGAATGTGAATGTGTGATGTATGTACGTATAGATGCGTTGAGGTGTGCGTGCGTACGTACGTGATGCTATGCGCTGGTGCCAGCTGGTGTTGGTGGGGTTTCTTGTTTGCCGTGTAGTCGTGTGGGTGAGCGCTCCGTGTGTTTTCTTTTTTCTTTACACCAGCGCCATCGGCGAGCCACCTCGCGCATGAGTGACCTCGACAGTCAGCGGGACTCACGATGACGACGCAAAAATAAACCAACGGACACACAGCAGCAGCAGTAACAATGTCAATGGATGTCGGAAACATCAATCGACAGAGGTCTCCTCATCGGCACGCTATGTATGACGGTACGCGGTGTATGTCTGAGGTGCGCAGCTGCCCTCGCAAAGGCACGGACATGGGGGGTTGGTTTCGCCGCGTTCTACGAAGGAGGATGTCGGAGATTCGTATCCTCTGCCTGGTGGTCTGGTTGTGGTCCTATGCGGTACGGTCGGTGTCGTTGTGCGGGTATGTGCGGTCAGCACGGTTTATACGGCGGGTTTTAGAGTCGGCAGGCTCCGGGAATGTACACTAATATCCAGCAGCGGCTGGAACTGAGGGTCGAGATGCCAGCGAGAGTTGTACCCAGGTCAGGTTTCTCCAAGAGTAGCTACGATGGCATTTCGGCCAATCAGATGGCTTGCTGGGGGTTCATTCGCGGTGGGTTTACCTGTACCCGGAGATTATGATGATATATCGTATCATCCCTGTGTACCCGTTTCTGGTTGCCGTGCTTTCCATGTCCACTAACGTACCCCTCGCGTACTCGAGGAAAAAACACACAAGTAGCCTCGTTCTTGTGCAAGAGAGCTACTCCCTTCCCTCCGCAACCGTAACAAACAGGCATCCAACCGGCACACCTAACCCCACGCATCTTCCCCCTCCCCCCCACACCCTCATGTTCCTGTCAGTCGACCCCCCTGCCTTCTCGTCAACCTCTCCGGGAGCGTGTTCCTCCCCGGCGGCGACGCCGGAGGCGGGGACGGCGTTGCCGCCCCCCGTGCAGCTCACCTTCGGCGGGCGCAGCAGGGGCGTGACGCACGGGCTTGCGGACTTCGTGGCACAGGAGGAGATGGACCGGTACCGCGGCTTCTGGTGGTCTCTCGACAGCTCCTCGATAGCCTTCACGGAGGTGTGTCTCGTGTCTTGTGTCTTGCGTGTGTCTTGCGTGTGTCTTTCTTTCCGTAGGCATCGACCGAGCTACATTGTCGACTGGTGAGCAATGAAAAAGGCGCCTGAGTCAAGTGTAACGGGAGGGACAAGAGCACGCGAACACCCTGTCTGATGGAAGGGTTCTATGGGTATCTCGTTTGTGTTGTTTGTTTTTATTGGCATCGACGGCGCTAAACGGCTTACCAACGAAAAGACGACGTCAGTCTTAGTATTATAGTGCGGCTGAAAGCAGAAAATGCTTCTAAAGACCGTCGTCTGTGTCTTGTGTGTGTGCCTTTTTTGAGTTTGCGTCAACCGCGCTACATACCCGGCTGCTGAGCAATGAAAAAGAGCGTCAGTGTTGAAGGAGGATAATGAATATCGTGACACGCTTTCTGATCAAAGGGTGTTATGTGTGTGTGTCTTTGTTGGCATCGGCATCGCTACATAGCTGCTGGGAAATTAACATACGTCAGTCTTAGCGGGCAATAAACCGCTAATGTACGCGTGTCGTTGTTGTGGGTTCAAGGTTTAGCCCGGTCGGTTCTTGTTTTGGTTGAGTGTATTGGCGCCTTTACATGAAAACACATGCCTGTTACGTACAGCCGTCTCTTACGGCGTGCGTGTACACTCGAACCCGTTCACCAGTTCACTCACATCTACCCATAGACGTGTGCACCTTTTCATCTCCATGTGCATCTGCACGTCTACCTGCCTGTTGCATGTGTGTTCATCCCGAACTCCACCCACGCCTGCGCCGGCGTCTATGGATCCGGCCTCTTACTCAACATGACGATCGACATCATCATCAACAACAACAATGACGACGACAATGACGACGGAAAACAATTAATAACAACGACAGGTGGACGAGCGACACATCCCGTCGTTCCGAATCATGCACCAGGGGAAGGACACCGTGGGGGAGGGGGCTCAGGAGGACCACCACTACCCCTTTGCGGGGAAAGACAACCCAAAGGTATTTTGGCATGCTATGTACTACTACAATACAAGCATTTAGCACGCATAAGTCGTTTTTTTTGCGTGTGTGTTTTCTTCGTTACCATCGACCGTGCTACTTAACTGGCTGGCCAATATTTGTGTATGTGTGTTTTCTTGTTATTTGCATCGACCGCGGTACACAACCGGCTGACCCAATGACAGTACGCCAGTCTTGAAGCGAGATAAAAACCGCGAACACGTTCGAATCAATGGGCGGGTTCTAGTATGTGCGGCCGACACGCTTGTTGTTTTTTCAACGCTCCACGTCAGTTTTTTGGTCTGTGAAGGATTGAGTTGTGCTGTGTTGTTCGGACCGTGCGGCTTGTTTGGTCTGTCCATCTTGTGGTGCCGCACCTCTTTTACCGTAGCGCTGGCGGTGGCAACAGCCCCTCGAACTCTCACTTTGGTCGGAAGCTTGGTTGGTTTGTTGCGCCGTTGGAGGGGGGGGGGAGGAGTTGACTGCCGCAGGCCAAGATCCTCTGGTGTGTGGGAAAGGAAAGATATTTGAAGGAGGTCCCGAATAAATGTTGTTGGCGGTGTCGTATCGTCTCCAGCGGGAGTGGGAAGGGTGCCCAGCTCTCGAAAGGGAGTGCTGCGAGATCGAGAGCCAAAGGACTTGTCAAGCCAAGCCGCAGAATCGTGCAGTACACTCTCGCCACCCTCGTCACGCCCATCTGGCCCGTGCAGTACGTACACCGATAGCTCCAGCAGCCTACACGAAATTCACATGTTGTCGTCGTTCTTTCTCCCTACAAAAATCATCCGCATTCCGCACCGTTGCGAAACTCCACGTTGGTTTTCACACAACGAAACGCACAAGTTGCCATTCCATCTCTTTACGACTCCGCTTCCCTCAGCGTCTGAACGACTACGTCATGCGTTTACATGAGTACACCCTCGCCCGGCACCCCGTCTTAAAACCCTTAAAAACCCCAACCGCCGCATTATTTTTTTTACACGCATCTTTTCTGTTTTTTTTTTCATACTGTAACACATTGAATCCACTTACAATATATCCTAAACAGGTTCGCCTTGCGGTGGTCGAGGTGGACGCGGCGGCCATCCAGTCCGGCCAGGCTAACACCAGCGAGGAGAACTTCCGACCCACCTGGATGGACATTGGGGGCACCGCCAACGGCGGCGGCACCCCCTCCTCGGGGCAACCGACGGAGGGCCAGACGTCGTCGGAGCCGGCCTCAAGCAACGACAACGGCGGAGTGGGGGCGGCAAGAGAGGGGGCGGGCATGGAGGGAGAGATCTACCTCGCTAGGGTTAACTGGCTGCAGGACGGGTCGCTGTGCGCCCAGGTGCAGAACCGCGCTCAGACGGAGCTCCGGCTGCTGCGACTGGACCCGCGAAGCGGCGCCCCGACCACCCTGGTCGTGGAGAAGTCCAAGATCTGGGTCAACCTCCACCATCTGCTCCGGTCCCTCCCGGCGCCCGCCCTGCAGGTCTGCTCTTGTTGTTTTTGTTGTTGTCGCGGTCGTCGGAGGTGGAGGTGGAGGTGGTGATGGTTGTTGTTGTCTCTGGCTCCTCGTTGTTTTTGTTGGCGTATGCACGGCTGGTGCTGGAGTTTGGGCGCGGGTGTAAGTCTGTAGACGAACAGGGTGAGCTACTAGCTGCTGCTGCTGTGGCTACTTGTCACCCTTTCCCTCATCCCACACTGTTTTGCGACTTGGTACCACTTATCAAGCTCCGGATACCACTCCTGCCGGCAGGACTGGCTCACGAAGTAGAACCACGAAAAAGGGCGGATACCTACTCCCTCAAACAGGTGGCGGGGTCGAACGAACGGCGAAATTCTGAACTTAACCCCCCTCTCCCGCAACCCACCGTTGCGCAACAACCATCGTGAGTAAATGATCAACTAAATATGCCAGGCATCGAAAAAAGTAAAATGACCCCCCTCCCGCCTCGAACTGTTTTTGAACCACCTTCGGAAAAGTAGGAAGGAACGGTTGCCTGTCGGTGATCGGTCCTATTGGAGCAAGCAATACTCCGTCCTCTCGAGGACGCGTGGTGGATGATCTAAACAACTGCGGCATCCATAATATGAGAGTACCCCACCCGCCCTCCCCCCCCGAAACCCCAGCAGCAGCCTCGCCAAGAAGGCGGTAGCTCTGGCGTTGCCGGCGCTAGCGATATGGACGTCTCGTCGCCGTCGTCCTCCTCCTCCTCGCCGGCGGCACCGGACGGGTCCTTTTCCTTCATCTGGGCGTCCGAGCGCAGCGGGTTCATGCATCTCTACCTCTACCAGTACGTGCCCGGGGCGGACAAGGCGGTCGAGATACGCCAGATAACCTCGGGGGAGTGGGTCGTGGAGTTTGTCGTTGGGGTGGATCAGGTGAGAAACGGGGGGGGCAGAGACGAGAGCGGGAGAACTCTCTGGCATTCATTCGTTCACTGTTCTTTGCGACAGAGCGCGAGCGCGGGCTGTGTGGGTTGTCGTTGGCGACGATGATGACGCATACGTTACAGGAGTCAGGAGGGAAGGTCGGCAAGGGTATGAGGGGAGGGGGAAGAAGAGGGCCGTTCGGTCTACACGACATCTCCCCTGTCGGATTTTTTTGTTGCTGTTCTCGCAGGTCCATGGGCTTCGTGCGCGCAAGCGTTTTCTTTCGTGCACTCGCTATTTTTTGTATTCGAAGAGCAAGGGTACTTCGCCCGCCCCCCCTTCGGGGGCCGGTCTCGCGTAGTACCCGCAGGTACAAGAAAAAAGAAGGGAAGGGTTTGAAGGTACAGGTACTGCTGTGTAGTTGTGGGGACCATCGGCAAGTGTTGTATGTAAGTAGATCGAGGGTCGGATAGATTGCATGCACGCGAGGAAAAATAGACATGAATGATGCAGGTTCGAATGTTCGCAAGATATTGAAAGAAGTGCGTCGTCACCGCTTGGTCATTGTCCGGGAAGTTATTGCCCAGCGCTGATCCCGAGGAACACATCCACACGAGATTCTGCGTTTGTGTGTGCCAAAAAGTGTCTGCTCTGCAAGTCTGGCTGATGCTGTGGCCGTGTAGTACTACACCAATGCAGCAGCAACAAACTGAGAGGACGGCCGCGGAATCCATTAAGCTGCGTTTGTTTGTTTCTCTTCCAAGTTTGAGGAAGAGATGTTCTCCCGCTTGGCTGTACAGCAGCAGCAGTTTTACAGCAGTAGTCCACAACACACCGTGCATGGCTTAAAGTGCTTGTGTACCATCTCGAAAGTCATGCACCAAAGATAGACATACGCCAGGAGTATGTGTTTATGCTGTGAAGGGGGGGTTAGCTTAGATACATATATACCCTGGTACTCAGTTGAAGTTCGATCCGAAAACACACCATGCATGGCTTGATGAAGTGCTTGTGTAGCTTCTCGCAAGTTTACACAAGGTGGACGTGTGATGAGCATGTTTATGCCATGCACGGCGGGGGTTACCTGCTGGTACATACTGGTACGTTGTGCCGAGATATCTACTAAACACATCGGAGCGAACATAATTGGGAACGAAAAAAGTGCCCGTGCTCGTGGCTCTCATGGCACAGCAGCGCACCGCAGGGCGCGCTACGCGCGGGGTGCGCTGCGTACACGGTATTCCCGTCCGGGAGCCGCGAGAAGACTGAAAGAAAGACTGAGAGTTGGGGGAGGTAGAGACTGCTGCGAGTTGTGAGTGAGGTAGAGAGATGCCGCCATGTTCTTGTACATAAGCTGTGGCATGCTGCTGTGCCTCCGTGTTGTGTCCTTCTGACCAGCCAGCTGGTCATGACGTCACACACAACCACCGGAGAGATCCCAGGGAGAACCAAAAATGCTTAGTTTTAGGAACAATATGCCGGCGGCCCAGCGTCAGCAGCTCCTGACACGGCGCACCGCAGGGCGCGAGACTCGCGGGTCGCGCCGGCTACATTAATTCCCGTGCGGGAGCCGAAGGAACGACGGGAAACGGTTTAAACGTGGATGCCAAAAAAAAAACGGGCTCACGACAGAGCAGCGGCCGCGAAACGCGACCAAGATCATGCTATTATAGTTAGAGGTAAACTGTGTTCGTGCAACGCAAACCTGCTGCAGTCCCAAGACATGTAACCAACGTCATGGTGGACGTATAGCGAAGCGAACTTCAATCTCTTGTTCCAGCCCCCGTTTATTTCCCACCACGACCCCCCCCCCCCCGCGCGCGCAGGCGAACGACGTGGTGTACGTGATGGGTACGTACGACAGCCCGTGCGAGCGGCACCTGTACGCGGTGCCCCTCAACAACCCGAAGGGGGGTCCAGGGGGGAGCGCGAAGCCGGTCAGGCTGACGGAGGCCCCGTGCATGCACAACGTCATCATGGACCACCGCCTCCGGAGGTAATAACCAACGCGCCGCCGTGTTCTGTGCCTATACTCTCGTGCTGGTTCCCTCTTGCTTTCTCACATCGCGATTTTGATGTTGTTGCTGTTTGGCGTTGCTGCTCGCTTGGCGCGATCGTGTTTGGCGTCGTCGCTGTCGTCGTGTTCTGATACATACAGTACGTGTCTATCGTGGGCTTCGTTTTTCTTCCGAGACGCTCGTTTTTTCGTTTTTTCCCCCATCGCTTTAACATTTGGGTCACTTGGAGGCTATTGTAGTTGAGTCTAACCCTGTATTTTCTGTTGCTGCTATTTCAATCTCTTGTTCTTTGTTGTCGAATGGCGTCCTTGCGTCCAGGTTTGTGGACGTCTACAGCTCGCCGGAGCAGCCCGCGAAGATGGTTCTGTACGCCCTCTCCACCACGGGTAACCCCTACGATCCCCCGATACCCCTGCAGGAGCTGCACTCGGCCCTGGACGACAGAGTCTTGGCTCTCAGACACAAGCTCCCACCCCCGGAGGTCGGTATCTACATAGATGATACTTGATAGATCGGTAGGAACGGTGGGGCGTGTTGGAAAAAATTCAATGCCAGGAGGGTGGGATAGATGAGAGGTAGTGGTGCAGGACGATGTCCAGACCGGGATTTTTTGAGACTATCTGTATGGTCTGCGCTCAGTGCTGGAGGAGCTCTGGTGCTGCTCTGCCGCTGCTGCTGCTGCTGTTGCTGCTGCTGCTGCTGCTGCTGCTGTGCTTTCGGCCGCTGTTGCTGCCGTTTTCCCCTGCCGATTTATTTTTTCCATTCTTTTGTAACTGACGTTCACGTCAAATGGTAAGGGTAAGCGCCGCAGCCATTCCGTAAGAGGAAGCCTGGGACATGACTGATTGATGTGTACGGTACAGTGCTTGACAGCGAAGCGGCTACGATCGTGTGTATGCTGCCGCACCCAACCTCCAGGTGATATCCTTCGAGACAAGGGACAGGGAGGCCAACCTGTTCGCAGCCGTGTACCGTCCGGACGTTAACGTTCACGGTCCGGGGCCCTACCCCACCATCGTGGCAGTCTACGGGGGGCCGCACGTGCAGTGGTGAGAGAGACTGTTATAGTAGGGGAGGGGGGAGATTGATGACGACATTGCGCTCGTTTGTGCCCTTCGCGCCTTCTGTCGTGATTCGGAGAGAGAGAGAGAGAGAGAGAGAGAGAGAGGAGGTTTAGGATGGCAGCTCTCGTCCTGTTGTAAAGTTAATTTCAGGGTCCTTCTTTTAATCCTTCCTTCTGTATTCGGCTACATTTGATTTTTCTATTTCTCCGCGTGTGTATGCGTGCTTTCGTTTTCCTTGGTATTCCGGTATTCCGTGCGGGGGGCTTGACGTTCAGGGTGAGCCGCAGCTGGGGATGCACTGTGGACATGCGAGCACAGAGATTGCGCGACCTGGGGTTTTTGGTGCTGAAGTGCGACAACCGAGGGAGCTTCCGAAGGTGACGACAGCAGAAAAAAGAAAGAAAAGAACGAGCGCCACAAAGAACAGCAGAATTACTTGAGATCGCGTAAATACAGCAAAGATTGTTACGGTGTACTATTGTACGCCGTGCTGGCAGGCAAGTATGTAAAATGGAAAAGAGAAGGAAATATGATAGTACCTCGTTTTTGGCCCATACGTTTGAAATGAAGTATCATTCGTGTCGAAGACTAATTTTCGGCTGCTGGTCGCTTACTTTTCGGTGTTTATTGCGTGTGTTGCGTCTTTGTCTTGTGTCTTTTTCGTGCAAGGGGGTTGGCGTTCGAGGCATGGGTGAAGTGGCGCATGGGTGGCGTTGAGATCACCGACCAGGAGGACTGCGTGCACTGGGCGGTCAAGAAGGTGATTGTGTGTGTTTGTGCCTGCTTTGTTGCACCGTAATAGTCGTCCACGCAACGAGGAGAGGATTTCTTAAACCCCCCTCTTCGCGTTACCGTACTTTTATTTGTTTTTGATCAAGTACACAGAGATGGGGACGGGACAGGAGTTGTTCTGGTTTGAACAAGCCCGCATCGTATGTCTTGTCTCCCCGGAACTTAAAAAGGCTAAGGACTACTTGTGGTAATACAATGGGGGCGACGGCGAAAGCAACAAAGTAAGAACGCGGAGAATGTGCCTGCCCCCCCACACATACACACTTTCTCATTCCCTGGTGGCCGTTCCCCTGGTCATTTTTTTTCTTATAACCCAGACTTTTATTGTTGTTGTTGTTGGTGTTGGTTGTGTGTTTGCGTTTCCCCTCTTTTCGTATCCTTCCACCGCTCATGTCGGTCGCTTACACGCGGCCACTTTTTTTCTTTATCGCTGAGATCCCCTCACGTGTGTGTCCATCTGTGTGCGCGGCTCGTATGTGTTCTCCTTCCTGCCCCCTCTAAAGGGTCTGGCGGACCCTGCGAGAGTGGGCATCTACGGCTGGAGCTACGGAGGGTACGCCACGGCCATGTGCCTGTGCAAAGCGCCCAACACTTTCAGGGTGGGGGTGAGCGGGGCCCCGGTGACTGCCTGGGACGGCTACGACACTCACTACACGGAGCGCTACATGGGCACTCCGATGGAGAACCCGAAGGGTTACACGTGCGTTGTTGTTGTTGTTGCTGTTGTTGTTGTTGTTGGGAGCGAGGCTAGACGGACGGGATGCTGTCCATTCTAGCACCCTTTGTCCCGTCCGTACTCCGATCCTGCGAGCCCTGGCCACAAGGCCCAGCTCTGTCCGCAGACAAGTTGGTGTGCATGCGGCCTCCTCTGACTCTCGGACCCCCCCCTCCCCCCCGTCTCTGTCTGGTGCCCCAACGGGCGTCTCGGTACCCTCTCTTTTTTTGCCCTCGGCGGCGTTTTTTTTGTCTCATCAGAGAGTCTAGCGTGTTGACTCACGCGTCCAAGCTGGAAGGGAAGCTGATGCTGGTGCATGGCCTCATGGACGAGAACGTGCACTTCCGACACACGGCCAGGCTCATCAACGCGCTCATCGCGGCCCGCAAGCCGTACGACCTTCTCATATTCCCGGACGAGCGCCACTCGCCGAGAAAGCTACAGGTACGTAGGTGTGGTGTTTGCTGTACAGTGGGGGTCCCGTTATACCGCGGTCCCGAGTGTAATAGTTCGCTCGTCGCGGGATTTGTGGTTACCACACCAAAAGCTGTATGTTCCCCCAAGTGCGCTGTCCCGATAAGAATTTAATATTGGGCGTGTTTGTTTTTTGGTGTGTGTGATTTGGGTATTTATTTTGAAGTTTCAGTTGTGGGGACGCAATATACCGCGGTGATTTTTGCCTGTCACTACAGTATACCGCGGTACGGCACGGTATACCGGAACCACCACTGCTTTATGTGTCTTGGTCTTCATGGCGGAGGTGTTGAGACCGCGAACGTGACACGTCCCTCCCATACAACGCGGAGACAGCGGGTAACTACTGTTCTCGAGCGAGCGCGTACTCGCGTAGAAAGCTCGACTTTTGTGGAAGTTGTTCGGGTGCGGGTGCACGCACGTGTGTGTGTTTGATGGCCGGCTGTTTGTCTTGTTCTTTTTCGCCCATCGACTTTTTTTTGTTTTTTTGGGAAAGGGGCGGGGTGGTTATTGTGAGGCTTGTACGATGATGGTCTCCTTGTCTACGTCGGCCGTTGTTGCCTTGCGTCTGTCTGTCTTGCCATGCTTGTTTCGTCATGGCTTCCGATAAGTAGGTCCACACTCACTTCGAGCATGCCGGACTGATGAACAAATGGTCGAGTCACTGTCGAATTTTGATTGCATGGGTGCAATACCATATCGACAGAGAGGCGAGAATCAAAATATCCCACCCCCCGCTCCCTCATCACATTGATTTCCTGTCTTCGTGTAAATGGCGTTCATTGCAGCTGTGCAACTTTCACAAGGCTAGCTGCCCCCATCCCCTTCTTCGCTCTCGTCTTGATAGGACCGCGTGTACATGGAGCAGCGCATCAGCGACTACTTCGTGCAGCACCTCGTCAAAGACCCCCCACCGCAGGTATACATTATGCCTAACTTAACACGAGACGACGTGATGATGCGTGGTGTAAACACAGTTTTCGAGAGGTGGTGCAGATAAACAGAGAGAGAGAGAGAGAGAGAGAGATGCATTTCCTCGGCGTATTGTTTGGTTTTGGCCAAGCTTGGCCGCCGCCGACGCGTTGGCGTTGCGAGGGAAAGTTTTTATCCTCTGCCTCTCGACTACGAGACTGGTGTAGAGCTAGTATATGTAGTTGTACGCTGTCTCTTGCGCTTGGTGGATCCAAGCCCTCGTCGGACTACTTTCGACCGCCACGTGTGTGTACCGCAAGTGTAAGCGCTGTTGCTGCTGCTGGCTCATGATGCCGATATCCATCGTTGCATTGCATGCAAACCTTGGTGGGGCCATTTTTCACAAGCAGAACCGTCTACCGGCACGGACGGCGCAAGAATTCCGTAAGACTGAACCGTGGATCCCCTCGAGTCCTGCGGGGGCAAATGGTACTTGTACCTGTTGCCAGTGTTGTCTCTATGTTGGTTCTGTCTAGTAACACAGAGCTCATCCCTACCCCCCCCCCCCGCCCCCCGATGCACAGGCCAGCCACTTGTAGAACCTCCTCCAGCGAAGAGCGGCAGAGGAATTTTGCCGCTTCCTCTGGGCATCAAGAAGGAAAGGGGTTGAGCTGATCAGTTTGTGGACAAAAGGCTCTTTCGCACAGCAGCTGCGGGCGACTGCTGTCCTCCCGCATTTGCCGGAATCACGCCGGACTTGCGGAAAACAAGACTGCGGTTATGAGAGGAACCGGTGTCCCGTCTGGGTTTGCTATGAGCAAGAACATTCGACGCTGGTTCTCAAGCATAGGCGACGCTGGTTCTTAAGAATAGATGGCGCTGATTTTTACCGAATAGACGACGCTCCTCCTTCTTGTTCTTGGAAGAGAGGGGCGTTTGGTAGCCCTTTCCTTCGCGTGAAAGGACGCGTTTTGCGCTCCTGTTCTCCCCCCGATGCCCAATCGCCGTCCACACCCGTTATATTACTATACTATAGGCACACGACTTGTTGTGGTTGGTTTTCCCTGCCGTTGTTTTGTGCCTGTTTTTCTCGCTGGGAATTAATCCTTTTCCCGGCCCCTTTCACCACACATGAACCGATTTTTCAAGGGTGATGGTAGGGTAGAGCTTCTAGCTTCCCTACCGAGATTCACGAAGCCCAAACGGCCATTGCCCGCGGCGGTGCGCCTGTCTGTTGGTGTTTTCGTTGTGCGAGCGAGATGCGAGATGGCCGCCGAACAGGGCGTGTTGTCGAATATTGCGCGGGTACAGTATCTGCCGTATTTGTGGACAATGACAATGAAAGCTTCCACGGGCGTGTGCCTTATAGAAGAGCAGGGTTTATGGGTTATGGTGCTCTATGATGATTACCATGGCGGCTCATAGGCACGACACGGTTCGTGGTGTGGTGTTATGAAGGTTGGATCCTGGTGGGCTTTCGAGAAGGCGTGGGTTACAACCTTGTTGCAGGGGAGTGGGGAAGATCGATGGGGCGGGCGTTGGAGTGGAAGAAAAGAGGTGCTATAATATTAATAAATAGCTGTCTTCCGCGGTTCGAGAGCAACAACCAAGCTTTTTGTTTCTTGGTCGCGAGCGACTGGCTGGCTGCAAGTCTCACGTTCGTTCGTTTTTCACACGAAAATAGCAATTTGGGGCGTACGATATATATGTTTTCGATACAGGAGGAGATAGGTTTGGGGGAGTGTGTGTGCAAAAAGGTGGCGGGAAGGCTTCGAACGAATAATTGCGGCAAGATTATGTATTCCCGCCGTATGTTTGCGTGGGGCTTGTGGTCATGACAGACCGCAGGAGCTTGTGATGACGCGAGTTGATTGGTTCTTGCTCGCTTGTCGCAACAACAGCGGCTGTAAAATTCAGCTATTATACGACGCACACACAATGATATTACTTGCAACAAACCACACGAATCCACAACCCACTCCGTTGATTTTGACACGAATCCTGTGGGGAGAGGGTGGTGACTAGTCAATCGGGATGATGGTGCTTTGACGCCCAATAGTGACGCCCAATAGATGGACTGTAACGTTGATGATGGTGTTCGTTGATCGTTGATGGCGATTCCGAACAGAGAGGCGGGGTTGACAGCTAGGTTGCTCGGGGAATACGCCTATATAGCAGTGTTCCCTCGACTACATTGGCGCGTCGCAAGACTCCCCCCCCCACCCCCACCCGCGCACTTTATCATCCCGGGGGATGCCTTCGAAAGGCATGGTAATGGCCACGAACAAGGTTTCCTCTTCCAGACTTGTCTGTTTTTGGGTTAGGTTTGGCGGTCCGACAGACTGCGAAAGATAGTGCCCACGCCTCGAAAAAATCGTGTCGAGCAACACTAATATTGTTTGCTGATGGCTGTTGGCTTGGTTTGTACTTCTTACAGCAGTAACGTGTGTACGCATGTCTCCTGGATAATCATGAAGAGAGACTGACGGCCGACCTGGTAGGCGGTGTGTGAACGTTGTTGCGACCCATACGGACGGGTGTTCCACCAGGCTCACCCATACCGCACATACTCACGGATTGGCTTGCTTTACCATGTATAGGACAATAACAAGGGCGCCCTTTCTTGCACGACTGCGCTAAAGTTGTAATGTCCAAGCTTGCTTGTATCTCATCATTTCATCGTTCGTACGTTGATGCAACAGCCATCATTCCTTCCTCCCAAGCGCCTTTTGCGTCGCTTCACGATGTAGTAGTACCTGTACTGTGCTGTCTACAGTCAGGAGCTTCCGCGAGACAGAGTTAACCAACCACTTGAGTTTGCAAATTACCGAGTTCTTCTCTTGTTGCCGGTCCGGCAAGGCGGCCAAAGACTACAATAATACAGTAACAGCCTTCGTAAAACTCTATTCTTGCTCTGGAAAAAAAGAAATGTACCACCTCTCTCTCTCTCGCTTTCCTTCCTCAAAAGCTACAATACCAACGCGCTCCGTAGTAGGTGGGCACTTGCCCTGTCTGCACCGATCCGGTGCGGCTACCGGTCCCCTAACGTACAAGTGAACGCGGCTTGACGCACTACGCTGCTGCTGCGGTTCGACCTCTCTGTTCCAGCTGACTGTCATACCCCCCCCCCCTCTTAAAGACCATCTGCAGTTGTTGTTACTACTGGCACAAGTGTGGTACTATTCCACTATATTAGCCTTCTCCGTGTTACCTCCGAACCTTTTCTACGTGTTGTGTGTGAAACCGTTTCTTCTTCCTTTAGAAAGTAAGCTATCATTAGCTAAATAGTATTCCTGCTGCACACACACCGCGTCTGTCTGTCTCAGCAAGGGGAGACTTTTTCAGCTGTGGCTGCGAGAGTCGAGAAGGCCAACAATAGTCGTCGTCTACACCGAAAACATGAAAACGCACTTTGGGGTTGGGGGTGGGGGGGGGGTTACATCACCCCGTGCCAGGCCCCCATCGGGCCCGAACCAATAAAATGTACTCCATCCATCACGCCTCCTTCCGCCGAAGCGATCAACACGCACTGCTTTCTCTCCGCCTGCCCTTGGGGCCGTCTGCCTCCGCTCTCTCGCCAATTACAAGAATATCCCCCGTACACCACCAATATATAATCCAAGCTCAAGACAGGAAACGAAACAAACTCGTCCAGGTGGAAGAATAATCGAACCGAAAAGGATAACTCACCGTATGCAACTCCCGCCCCTTCAAAAACCAAACTTCATTTCACAGAAGGGGGGAGGGGGGGGGGGGGG